CGTGTAGTGCCCGTCCACCTTTCTGATGATGTCTGCCTCCGCGCACAAAAATGAGATGGGCATCACTGCCAACGCCGACGGCCAGAAAGGCCCGCGCATCTACATTTTCCCGCCTGACCCCATCAGTGCCGACCCAACTCCACCACCACACGCACGCCTCGCGGCGGATGCGCAGCAGCAAGAAGGTTTCGGTCATCCCTTGTGGTGCCCTTATTTATTCGGGGCCGACTGTCCAGCAGTACACATGCATCTGCCATGTATAGCAGTATCTAGATGGACGCTTGCTGTACAGCAGTTCATCTACGCCTCGTTCTCAACGCTTGTTGGGGGCAGGCTATGACGTTGGCATGACAGGGAGCAGCCGCCGTAGTTGAACTACAGCATGTACCGCTGTACATTGTAGACATCTGTACATCGTCGGCCCCGAATAAACAAGGGCGCCACACGCGGACAGAGTTGCACAAGATTTGTACAAGTTTGCGCCGTTGTGTGTCACATTAAGAAAAAAAAAAACGGCTAGTATTTGTTTGCGTGGCAACCCAGCATGGCTGTGCACCTGCTCTTGCTCTTGTGGATAGGGCAACGACGGGCTGTATTTAATCCATAGTAAAAGTAGCACTTGCGGAGGACTGATCACAGGTTGCCATGACTCTGACACCTGACCCCCCTACTTACACTGAGCGTTTCGTTCTTGCCCCGTCGGTGGTCCCGACGGGGTTATGCGCCAGCAGGCGCTACTCGTGGCGTACATGCTTCCGGTTTTCCAACGGGCGACGGGGAGGTCGGGGACGCTCAGCGGCGCGCTGTTCGGGCTATGGGTGAGCACTGCGCTATCAGAAGTGGCAGAAGCAAACGAGAAGTGACACAGACAAGATTGGGAACAGTTGATCTGAAGGACGCAGGTGATCGGGGTATCGTTGTTCCACGGCGATCTGTACGACATACGCTGGCTGGCTCATGATCTGTCCTCTGCGTGAAACGTGGTATGCAAAGAGTCACCTTTGGCAAAGTAGGGAGGAACGGTTGACCAGCGGTACTCGATGCTGTGGAAACAATGCTCCGTCCTCCCTCAGGGACGCGTGGCCAATGGTCTAGCAACTACTCGCGTCAATCTCATCATAGGGTCCTCGCTGCCCGGCATTTCGCAGGGAGCACGAGCTGTACCAGCGACAAGGGACTACGCAAGAGTGTCGGGTGGGCCCAGCCCGTTGCCAAAGACCAGCGGTACTTTTTCGGCCACCCTGCCTTCAAGTTGTCGCGCGTCGGCAGCCGCAGTCTTGAGGAATGAGGTAGGCGCCGAAGGAGTTCGCTCGGAGGAAGCCAACCGTGTACCGGTGACCACGGCGGCAACCGCAGAGGTGTCTCTCGATGTCGCTAGCGGAGGGCTATGCGTGCTAGCAAGGTTGCTGTGTAGCACCGGCAACCTTGCTAGCACGCATAGCCCTCCAACCGCTCGCAATAGCAAGAGACGCCTCTCCGGTTGCCGCCGTGGTCACCGGTACACGGTTGGCTTCTTCCGAGCCAACTCCTTCGGCGCCTACCGCATTCCTTACGAGTGAGGCTGCCGACACGCGACAACTTGACGGCAGGATGGGCGAAACCGTACCGCTGATCTTTGGCAACGGGCTGGACCCACCCGACACCCATGCGTTGTTCCTTGTGGCTGATGCAGCTCGTGCTGCCGACTGCGAAATGCCGGGAAACGAGGACGCGATGATGAGATTGGCGCGACTAGTCATGTGAAACATTAGCACACACACACGCACGCACATTGGTCAGCCGGTTAGCACGGTCGATGCTAATAATAAAAACACACGCACACACACAAACCCATCTGCGACTCGAATCATCGACAAATCGATCCAAACGACAGGATCCGAGCTGTAACTACGGCAAATCACTATGCGAGATTTTTCAACCCGGCTTCATCTACCCTTCTTCTGCTGCTTTTTCAACGTATGGCGGTCTTGGCAAAGGTACAACTAGTCGTAGCTATCGCCAACCACTTGTGGCAAACGAAGCCTTTTGCAGGGGTGATTTCGACGACGAAACAGCCTTGCTTCACCTGAAGGCTTGTCATACCAACTGGATTCGAAGACTGTTTACCTTCGAGCTGACTCGTTTTCTATCGATACGAACTCGTGATGCTTTCAAACATCATGGACTACTGGTCGACCAATTTCCACCACGGTCAATAGGTTGGGATCTCAGTTGTAGTGCAGATAAAAACGATCGCGATGGCAATGAGGGGAATTCGTTTGGCAGCGATGAAGGAGGAGAGGGAGCGGGAGGACAAGAGGACAAGACAAAGACCAAGACGGCAGTCGAGGAGGGAATCATGGCGTGGAAGAGAGCAAGATGACCTTCCCCACCACAAACGACGCAGGGCCAGAATAGAACTGCAGAAAAATTGCTGTCAAAATGATGATGAGAATGATGGTAGTGAAAGCAACGATGATGATGGTAAAAGCACCCCAAACCGAACTCGAGTGCAAGGTAGCAGCCTTGGTAGACGCGGCAGTTTCTGCTGTTGCTACCGTTTCTGTCTTTCATTCGGAGAAAAGCTTAGCCTCCCCCATGCCGCCACCTCACGGGGTCCCGGTTAATGGCATGTAAAGATGCTTCGTGTTTTCAACCGCGCTGAGACTGACGTATTTTTTTTGGTCAGCTGGTTAGCGCGGTCAATGCTTATAGTAAAGACGCACACACATCGCATAGTGATTAGCATTGCTTGCAGCTCGATCTTCGAGGGCGGATCCTGGCCTTTGGATCGACTTGTCGATGCATTGATTTGCAATTGGGTTCACGAAGTAACATCTAAAGAATGGACTTGGTGATTGCAAATCAAAGCATCGACAAGTCGATCCAAAGGCCCGGATCCGCCCTCGAAGATCGAACTGCAAGTAAGGCAAATCACTGTGCGGGAACTTTCAACCCGTCTAGATCTACCCTACTTACTGCTGCTTTTTCAACGAATGGTGGTCTTGGCAAAGGCACCAATCAACTCATCGTTGCTATCGCCAACCACTCGGCGCATGAAGCTTTTTGCCGGGGGAATTTCGACGACGAGAGAGCCTTGATTCGCCTGAAATCCTTTCACACTGACAGGATTCGGAAACGGTTTACCTTCGAGCTAGCTCGTTTTCTGTCGATGCGAACCCTCGATGTGCTCAAACGTCATGGGCTACTGATCGACCAACTTCCACCACGGCCGATCGGTCTCTGCGAGCAACAATTGTGATGAGGGTAGTTCTTTTTTGGAGTGGCGGAGACGAAGGAAAGGGGAAGGGAGGAAAGGAGGACGAAGACGACGATGGAGAAGGAATCATGTAGGAGTGGAAGAGGACAAAGGGTTTGAGCCAGATGACCTGCCCCACAACGGAAGACGCAGGGCTTTGCAAGAACTGCCGAAAAATTGCTGTGAAAAGGACGATGAAAATGATGGCAGCGATCACAAGGAAGACAATGATGAAAGCACTCTAAACGACCTCGAGTGCAAGGTAACGCCTTGGTAGACGCGTCCAGTTTTCTTCTGTTGCTACCGTTTCTGTCTTTGATCCGGAGGATAGTTTAGCCTCCCCCATGCTGCCCCCTCACGGGGTTCCAGTTCATGGCAGATAGAAGTGTGTTGTGTTTTCGACCGCACGAAGACTGACGTTTTTTCATTGGTCAGCCGGTTAGCGCGGTCGATGCTCATAAGAAACACACACTCCAGCACACTTTTTCAACCGCACTATGACTGGCGTCTTTTCATTGGTCAGCCGGTGAGCGCGGTCGATGCTAACAAACACACACACACACACGCTTCTGTTGCTACCATTTCTGTCTTTGATCCGGAGAATAGGTTAGTCTGCCCCATGCCGCCCCCTCACAGGGTCCCAATTCATGGCATTTAGAAGTGTTCTTGGTTTTCAACCGCACTAAGACTGACGTCTTTTCATTGGTCAGCCGGTGAGCGCGGTCGATGCTAACAAACACACACACACACACGCTTCTGTTGCTACCATTTCTGTCTTTGATCCGGAGAATAGGTTAGTCTGCCCCATGCCGCCCCCTCACAGGGTCCCAATTCATGGCATTTAGAAGTGTTCTTGGTTTTCAACCGCACTAAGACTGACGTCTTTTCATTGGTCAGCCGGTTAGCGCGGTCGATGCTAATAATAAAAACACACACACAC